CTCGCCTCGACCTTTCTTTGGGCACTCTCTTTTGAAGTGACCAGGTGTAATGACCCGACTTGTCGTTTTGAATATTTATGCCTCTTTAAACTATTTGAAGTCTTGAATAGTTTCATATGATGTATTATGACGTGTGTGAATCATCGGTTTTGATGTTTCAAGTGTTTCAGGATTAGTTCAGAAGAATAAATTGCATGTTGGAAACTTAAATGAAAAGGGTTGACCTGAGTTTTGACTTTTGTGAAAACGACTCTTGAATAGAGTTTTGATGATTCCAATAGCTCTGTATGGTAATTTTGGACTTAGCAATGTGTTCGAAAAATTATTTGGAAGTCCGTAGTTAAATTAGGTTTGAAATGGCGAAAGGAAGAAATTTAAGTTTGGAAGTTTGACCGGGGGGGTGACTTATTGATATCGGGGTCGGAATCCAGTTCTGAAAATTTTCATAGGTCCGTTATGTCATTTATGACTTGTGTGCAAAATTTGAGGTCAATCGGACTTGATTCGATAGGTTTCGACATCGAATGTAGATGTTGGAATTTGTTAGTTTTCATTAGGCTTGAATTGGGGTGCGATTCGTAGTTTTAGCATTGTTTGATGTGATTTGAGGCCTCGACTAAGTTCATATAATATTTTAGGACTTGTTGGTATATTTGGTTGGGGGTCCCAAGGGCCTCGGGTGTGTTTCGGATGTTATCGGATCATTTTGGGCTACTTTGGATGCTGGTTTTCTGATTTCTGGTTTTGTTCTTCGCGTTCACGATGAGCCTCTCACGTTCACGAAGAAGGATTTGGCCTCTGGGATTTTGTTCTTCACGTTCGCGAAGAGACTCTCGCTTTCGCGAAGAAGGAATTCCTGATATCCGTCACCCGACTTCGGAAGCTTATATCTTGCAATCTATAAGGAATTTGAAGATGATCCAAATAAGAAAATTGTAGCCCTTTGTGGCTAGTTTTCAGAAAAGCAAACCGTTTGGTATTTGGATTTGTATACAAAACGTTATAGTAGATAAACTACAGGCTGTCTGGGAAGAGTTTGGAAATCGCGAAGAAGAAATTTTTGCTGCACATGCCTGATTTTGGAAGCATATATCTCAAAATCTTTAAGGAATTGAGAGATAAGAAAAACATGAAAGTCGTAGCCCTTGATGTTTAGGTTTCAGAAAGTTAAACCATTTGTCATTTGGAGTTTTGTACAAAACGTTATGACCATTATACTAGAGACTGTCTGTGAAGAGTTTGGAAATGGCCGTTGAGGAATTTGTTCATCGCGAACGCAAGAGGATGGCCATGAACACGAAGAATAAACCCCTAGGCAGCAGATTTAAGTTCTGAAAACCCATTTTTCATTTTCCATTTTTAACGATTTGGAGCTCGGGGAAAGGCAATTTTCGGGAGATTTTCAAGGGAAACAACGGGGTAAGTGTTCTTAACTCAATTTTAGTCAAATTACCCGAATCTATTGCTATTTTTAGCATTTAATTGGTGTTCTAAGTTGGAAAAATTGTGAAAACCCTAAAGGTTAAATTAAAGATTGAGGGTCGAGTTGATGTCGGAATTTGATAAATTTGGTATGGTTGGACTCATGGTTGAATGAGCGTTCATATTTTGTAACTTTTGCCGAGTTCCGAGACATGGGCTCCAATAGAGATTTTTGAGTGTAATTTCGAATTTTGTTGGAAAATTAGTATTTTCATATGGAATTAATTCCTATAAATTGTGTTGAATGTATCGAATTAATTGTGACTAGATTCGAGGCGTTCGGAGGCCGATTCGCGAGGCAAGGGCATATTGGAATAAAGAATTACATGGTTTGAGGTAAGTAACATTTCTAAACTTGGAGCTGAGGTAATAACCCTAAAAATACGTGTTATATGATTTGTTTGGGGGTGACGCACAAGCTAGGTGATGGACGCGTGGGTGTGCACCGTAGAAACTGTGACATAATTGATTCCGTAGAATTGTGTAGTCAAATAATCTTGGCATTGTCCATGTACTTCATGTGTTAAAGAAATCGAGCTGAGAATCATGTTAAAAATCATGCTGAGGCTATATGTCGGTATTATTGAGACCCACAAAGGTCATGTTATTGTTTAATTATTTGTTTAAATTATAATTTCGTACTCATCCATGTTCATTCCTTTCATATCATATTTCAGTCTCTGTTGTTATTTATTGATACATCATGTTATCATTTTTGGGCTGATTTACATGAAATTTTGAGCCCAAGAGACTGGGGAGATTGATGACTGAGTGAGGCCGAGGGCTTGATTGTGAGGATAGTTATGGGATCGGGTTGCACGCTGCAGCAGGCCATATTGGCTTTATATATATAATAATAATATATGGATCGGGACTACACGCCGCAGCAGGCCTTATAGGCTTTATTATTATTGGATCGAACTGCACGCCGCAGTAGGCCAGGTTATTGGAGTGGTACTCTGACCCTTATCCCAGCTCGTCACTACTTTCAACCTAAGGTTATGTTTGTTACTTATTGAGTACATGAGATCGGTTGTACTCATACTACACTTCTACACCTTGCGTGCAGATTTTTGATGCTGATGTTGCTGCGTACGACAGGAGATGGATCTGAAGATGTACCTGTGTTTCAGTCATTGCTGCCTCTTATTCATGGTAGCTTTAGAATTTTTAATCTATTCATGTATATTTCAGACAGATGACGTATTTTATTTCATACCAGTTTTGTAAATTCTAATCTTAGAAGCTCATGATTTGTATTACCAGTCCTTGGGGAGTGTATTAGAGTTGGTTAAATATTAATTGAATCGGATTGTTATTATTTAGCTTACTTAGCGGGTGAGGTTAGGTGCCATCACGGCTAGTTGGATTTTGGGTCGTGACACCGGGTTGACCGCAACTGTAGCAATTCCTACCCTTTGATCGGTTTATGTACTTTCCACGAGCTTTGGATTTATCACGGATACTCGGTGCTCTATAAAATCTTCTTCCTCTGTTTTCCATGATAAGAGTCTGCCCCTGATTTTCGGGCTTCTTCCTCATCTTATCATTGAGTAGGATGGCTGATGTGACCTCCTTTAATTCGATGGTATCTCTACCATGCAAGATGGTTGTTGCCAAATTATCATAAGAAGATGGCAACGAGTTTCAAAGCATGATAATAGCCTTATCTACTTCGGTGATTGTTTCTCCGAGGTTTGCCAGCTGCGTGATTAATCTATTGAACATATTTAGATGGGACAAGAAATTTGTAAGTTCACTCATATGGATGGCATAAAGTCGCTTTCTCAAAAACAACTTGTTTGTTAATGATTTGGACATGTATAAACTTTCTAGTCTTTTTCAAATACCACATGCACTATTTTCATCCTCGATATTATTGAGTATTTCATCGGACAAATGCAGTTTGATTGCACTAGCTGCCTTCTTATCCATGTTTGCCCAATCCTCGGCTTTCATGATTTCCGGCTTTGCCTCTTTGCCATCTAGTGCAATGTCTAACCCTTTGTTGGATGAGTAGGTCCTTCATCCCTCTTTGCCATATTGAGAAATCGTCATTACCATTGAATCTTGTTACTTCATATTTTACTCCTGATATTTTTTTTGGTCACAAAGTAAAATTGACTGTAAATAATATTTATGTGAATGAGCAGAACCTGCTCTGATATCAGTTGTTGGGAAAATAAACCCCCACATAAATAATATTCACGGTATACAATTATAATAGATACGGATTACTAAAATACAGTAAGCAATAGTAATAATAAGAGAAACAAGGACACCGAAATTTTTACGTAAAAAAACCTTCTGAATAAGGAAAAAATCATGGCCCGAGAGGAGCAACTGATTTCACTATAAAAAGGATTTTACAATTTGTGGTACCGAGTAAAATACTCCAATACTACTACACATAAAAGAAATAACTCTCTTTTGATTTTTCCACCTCACTACAAATACCGCTCAAACTCTCTATATTTTTTCTTACAGAGTATTTTGCTTCTTACTCTGTAAATCACTCTCTTTCTCTCCGTTTGGTGTGTCCAACAATTGAAGGAATACTTCCTTATTAGAAGTGAAGAACCTCTCAAAGATGTCATTGTGCAGCCTTTGCCAAAGGGTCTTCCTTTCACATGGATGGACCCATCAAACATAAGTACCGTCACTGGTGGGAGCAGGAGCTGAGCTAGGAGAAACGTTATCGGCCACGGAGGGACGGGAAGCCGCTGCCAAAAGGAGAGAGAGGACGGCCACCATTCTGATTAAAGCTCTTGTGATCACCTTCATTCTTAGTTCTTCTGTATTCAAGTTTACAATGAATATTGAATAGCTCCTAATCTTCTTATTTCTTGATTCTTCTCTCTGCTTTTTTGAAGTTGTCAAAACGTCCTTCTCTTGTTTATTTCTCCTTCTGCGATGGCTCAGAGCGAGGAATCCATTGCAGAGTTGAGGAGAGAAAGCAGAGAGAGAACAAAGGGACACACTTTCCTTTTCCTTTGTTTGTTAAATGTCTTTAAAGGAACTCTTTTAGAAATGTGGAAGGAGGCTAAGGCAGAAATGCTTCAAAGGATTTTACGAGATATGTAATGTGTGCAGGGAGAGACAAGTATGGAGGCGCAAATACTGGAGAGAACACAAAATTCCCTATAGGAGTTAGGACCCCATCTGCATTTTTGGCCATCCTTATTGCTTTCTCCCCTGCTGTATAATCATCTCTGACTCTATATTATTTTAACTTTTGTGGGTATTTGCTTTGTAATGTACACAAAAATTTACACGTTGCATCATGCAGAAAGAGGTCTGCACAAGTATCAACTGTCAAGCTAACATCCAAAGAATCTTTTTTTTTTTTAATCGGTAGTAAAGGAAAATGAAATTATCACTTAATGCAGCTTATTTGGAAAAGATCCCTCGACTTTCTAAGAGGCGCACATCATCGCCTTACACGTGCAGTCTCTTCTCAATGCCTTCACAAAACCCCTGCCCCTGGGAAATAAAGAAAGAAAGAAAAGGCAGGCAGGTATACAAGGTTTGGATTAGGCCAAACGCTAACATTGTATTATTTTAATCGAGATGAGCTTAAATGGGCGACATGGTCAGTGGATTCATATAGTCGACCCTAACTTGCTCATGATTGAGGTGTAGTAATAGTTGTTAAATTCTTGATAGCAAAAGCACCTAGCTTGAATATATACAGAAGGACAGATTGTACATGATAAGATGTCATATCTACATTCCTGATCAAAAAGCTGTCATATCTACATTAAGGATAGGAAGACTGATATGGGACCATTATGTCGGGCAAGGAACAAAACCACATACTATGTCAGGAAGCTGAGAAAAACGGATCCTCTTTGTTTTTGTAGATTGCAAATAGCTGCTTGGAGTATCTTGTCGCCAAAGTTCTGCACAGTTCAATACCCTTGGGATCATATGCTTGCAATTCCTCCACAGACTTGTTCATGTCACCTTGCGGATCTCCATCCGTAAGAAATTCAGCCAAGGTGCTTCCCCTGTAATATGGCAGTATAAATTTATGAAACTAGCCCCCAAACATACAAAAGCAAACATCAGATTCAGCATTGTTTCAATGCAATTGATAGAAGCATTAAATCAGATCAACACCCAAGTGCCTTTCTGGTCAAAAGAAGAACTTTTAGATGTTTAATATGAATGCTAATATTAAAAAGTCTCATATTTACACATTTGCAGCCTTGAAATCATCCTTTTTCACATAGAAACATTAATTCCATGTTTTCCCTGGCCTAACATAGACAATTAGTCCCAGAAATAATTTCTTTCTCTAATCCACTTTGACCTCTTTTCAGAAGCATTCATGCAAACCTTTTGAAATTACATGTTTCTTTCTCCCTCCATCAGCAAAACCAAGTCCTAACTACATAATAAACGTTAGCCATTAAAGAATAGTCAACATGACATTTGATTCATTAAATCAGAGACAGCCATGCCATCTTGGACAAGGCTATACCAGTCGTGCAATCCAATCATAGATGATTGATTGTTTTGATCTATGTGAGACCCATCATTGGACTAGTATACATCGGCATAGTCATGGTCATAGGCATTCCTCAGAGTAGTCAAACTTGTCTGCATTTTGACTTCACACAAGCCTATCCTACGACAAAGTTACAGAGTCCAAATATTTCATTAAGCTATTTATTATCAGCTTAATATGCTTAGTGAACTTAACCAGCATCAACTTTTTGAACAAGCTAACCTCAAGATCTAACTCAACACCCTTTCAAAGATGCAAAGCTCAAGGCTCTTCTCTTGGACTGCCTTCAGATCTTCAGATTAGCTACTTAAAAACTGGCTGGAAAGCTAAGGATCATGATCTTAAGCCTTCAATAGGGCAGAAGTGCTCTTCGTGGGGCGTTGTTCCCCATAGTTCAAGGACCCACACCTTGGATTTGTGAATTGTTTGCAGATTTCAGATCGAGCAAAATCGACTAACCCATAGAAATTGAGCTTAATGCTTATTCACTACGTCAGAAGAGTTTAATGAGTTACGAACTCAAGTAATTGGGAGTTTGGCAAACATGGCCTACTGCCATAACAAGGAGATGTGTCCATGACAGTGATTCATAGGTCGTCCAGCACCTAGGGGGTCAAGGAATTACGAACAAAATGTATCTTAACAACTCGATATATAAGAGAAAATATTATTGAAACTCCAATTTGGACATTCAAATTTTAAGAGATGAGGATTACTAATATTGACAAACTTTTTAATGCCGATGCATTTTTAACCATGTGTTTATCTTATGCAGGTTACGAGCTTGGATCAGTTACACACAACAAATAAAGTGGAGATACTGGTGCTAAAATGAGTGTTCTGTTCCTCTAGACCAACATCATTTAAGCATCATAATGCGCATGTATTTGCATTCAAGCACATACCTGTAGGCATCACACTGGCTGAAACCTCTTTGATTGTGAAATATCGTTTCTTTACTACATTTTTCCTCAGCTGTTTGCTGCCTATACAAAACACAAACTGTCCTCATACATAATTCAGGATCCTTACCAAAGGCAGCAAGCATGTCTCCCTCAAACTCCCACTCTAATTTATCACTTTTGTTCCTTCGAATTCTCGAAATTATTTCACCATAATCTGTATCACTCTCTGATATATGCTCTGAGTCACTTACCGAATCTTCAGCTACAGAAGAATTATTTCCCAAAGCACCCTCAGAATTAGAGATGTCGCCATTCTCAGAACAATCAGAGCTGCTAACTATAAATCCACCCAAGCTTTCTCCTTCACTGTCTGACACATCTTCTTCGATGTCACTGCCACCACCATCTTTCATTTCACAATGACTTAGCTTCACTAGGCGCCGCCTACTAGAAGATTTCCTGACTTTCTCCCCAGAATCACCAGTTTGACTTGAGTGGCCTTCGGGATGATCATTGGAGCTTTTCCCATGAAAATGCCTAGTCTTGAGCATGCAAATTGGAACGTTATCATCATCAGTGTCACTATCACTAGCAATTAAGTTTGAAGCTCTTCTTCTTTTTGGAGTTGGAACACATAAAATGTCATTGTCTTCGCCTTTCTCAATATCAGTCATCTTTAAATTGTTCTCTGAAGGAAACTCATTATTAGACAAGGTGCTCCCTGATCCAGGGTAAGGTGAATCACGAGCCATTCTAGATCCTGGTATGGGAGGTGTACAGAGAGGTGGAGAATTTTTATAATCATTTCCATTTATTGATGTACAGAGAGGACGAGTAGTTCTTTCATCATCACTTTCATTTAAGTCGATAACAACAACATTTGCGGGCCTTACACCAGCTGGGGTAGAAGGAGCCATCCTCTTGTTTGACCCTCTTTCTTCTTCAAATGTCAATCGCTTCCTCACTTTAACATGGTTGTTGCCACTTTCAGAGAATAAAGCCTTGTTTCCTCCAACAAGCTCGGCTTGCAGGCATGGAGTTTTTGTCAAAGATTTTCCTGCCCATCAAAAGCAAATAACCAATGGAATAAGTAAAAAATTTCTACCATAATTATCCCAATCTTCTAAAGCAAAATATATACCTAAAACGCCCACCCCTTAAAATGGTTTTTACACCTTTCAATAATATTGTTTAAACAAAAGGATAGTACCTGAATCTTGAGATTGCAGAGATATGATTTCTCCATCAGAGAAAAAAGGATTTGCATCTAAACCAACCTTATTGTGTATTTCATGAGAAACAAATTTTTTGTTCAATTCCAACATCACCAACTCCAACTCCTTGCACTTCAATTTCCAAGACTCAACATTACTTTCAGCGACCCTTTTCTCGCATTCCAAGATATTGTTCTCGATCATCAACTGCAAAACCTTGTCTTCCTCTTCATTTTCCTCATTAATGACATTATTCTCAAATTGATGCATCCGCTTTTCCAGCTCTTGATTCCTTCTCTTCAACACCTCAAGCTCATCCTCAACAGCAACCTTCTCGACTCGCAATGTTTCATACTTAACTTCAAGCAACTTAAAACCATTTCTCTCCTGGTCAATCTCCTTCTGCAAAGTGGAACAAGTATTTTCCATTTCCTTGAACTGTGCTTCCAGATTTAAACACTGACTGCAATAACCAGATTCTCTTTTCAACCCACTCACACTATCTGCAGTATCTCCAGCTCCTACTGTTACCCCCATATCAACCCTCAAAGATTCATTACTACAGTCCATGTTTCAATCTCCCAACATTAGCAACCAACTCAATTTACGATTGTTTCAAAAGAAGTACCAAACTTTACAGTCAGTCCAAACCCTGATATTAAAGAAAACATCAAACTTTCAAAATCTACAGATAATTCAGCCTGCAAATTGTTAACCAATTATATATCAAAGAAAAGGGGAACTGGGAGAATAGCAAATTATTTCCTACTAGAAAAAAAAGAAGAGAAAACAAGAATGATTTCCACAATGTATAGCAATATTCTTTTAGGCTTCAAACAGTGACCTTAACACCAATTCGCAGGAAGTTACAAGACAAGACAAAAGGGACAAAAGGGGAAAAACAGAAACAAATGATAGAAATAAAGTACTTACAAAATCTGAAGCGTCGTTGAGCAACTGAAGAGTTGGGAAATATATAGCCGCAGTCTCCCGGGAAACCTCGGCGTATTCTTAACCACCGCTTCCGTTACCAACAGACTTTCTGATTTTTATTTGTGTTTTATTTTGTTTTATTTATTCCTTGTCTTGTTCAATTTAACATTGTGTTCATAGCATAATAAAAAAAAAGGTTAGTACGGAGGCGTAAGGATTTAAATTCTATAATTTTAATTTTTAAAGTTTTTAGCATTGAACCCATTATATTTTTAAAGTTATGGATTCATATTTATTATTTTTATAATTTTAATGAATTTTTACATATAAAATTTATTCCGCATCAAAAATTATAGGTTCAATTGAACCCATTGATACTACGCTACATACGTCACTGAGTATATGATTCACCTGTTATTATAGGACAAAGAAGAAATTTCGACAACTTTTAAAATGGAAGTTACACCGATTTGTCTCGTTTTGCTTAAATACCATATTAGTTCGAGTTTTTACTTTAGGAAGGATGCCAATAAGACAAAATATAAGGCCTAATTATTTTCTTTAAATAATTTTATTCGTTGATTTAAATGCATGTCAATGTATCATTCTTTTTCTGAGAAAATATCATTTCTTCTCGTACAAAAAAATATCAGCCCTTCTAGGAAAAGCTTTTTTCTCACATATAATAAGACTAGTTTCTGGTAACGTGTGTTGTACACGTGTATTTTATATTAATTAGTATAAACTTTTTAAAAATTATAAAAATATTATTAAAACATATGTGAAATATAAAATAAAATGTAAAGGGAAAATGTGCAAGTTAAAAATGATGAAAGATGATCACGTTTAGCAATCTGGTGGTTGAACTCGAAAAGATTAATAGGATATCCTCGGAACATGAAAAGATGAACAACAATTCAATTAGGTATATACACTTTGTAATTATATTAATTTTAATATTATGAGGTACAAATAAGATAATAGCTGAATATAAGATTGTCTCTTATGGTTTACATGCATAATGTAATAAAAGAAGAAAAAAAAGTAGCGCAACACGAGAGACTTCAATCTGGAGCCAATGGATCCAGTTTACCTTTTCTTTTGAATGAATCTGCCGCTTCGGTTACGATGCCAGGCAATGATGAACCAATTTCTTGGTTTCTACGCTTGAATTTCTATAAATAGTAATGTATGGGTATAATTTCAACCTTTGTGAAATCCTTGCATCAAAACTCTGTACCTTCTTCTTCCTCCTCCATTGTTGTGCAATTTTTTCTTCATGTTCCAACGATCTCTATTGTTTTCGATTCTCCGTTGTTTGATACTTTCCTTTCTTTTGTTGAAAATATGTCTAACGTACCTTATGGGCCCCGCGAGTAAAGTGGCCCGGTCCCTCTGGCGATTCTTTTTCCTTCTCATGCGGAGAACGTTCCCACTGCCACAGAGGACGGAGGCTTCCCGACTGTGGAAAAGATAGTTCCTCGCAACCCCGATGTCAGGTCTGATTTCTCGAAATTGCCTGAAGCCGAACCCGGAACCTTTAAATCGGTGATGAAGTGGGCCAATTTGTCAGAGCTTAAAGCAAAGTACAGACTTCCTGACCACGTCGAATTGATCCACGCTAGGTGGGATGCGGTGCAGCACCACCGTCCTGGGTATTGCATATTCTACGCCTACCCCTTTCATGTCAGCTACACTTTTTCTCTCCTCCCGCTAGCGGAGGAATTATGTCACTTTTACGGCGTTTCCCCGACTCAACTCGCGCTATATGTTTACAAGCTCATAAGGATGCTCACCAAGCTCGCTGAGTTGGTCGGGGTCGAGATCACACTTCGACATCCGATGCACATTTTCGCCCCCATCTTTTATAGGGGGACGATGTTGAATCTCCGCTACCGAGGAGGCAAATTCCTAGTGGTGAAGATGGACGATAAGGCTAACCGTCAGTTCTGGCTCAACTTCTTCTTGGTTAGAACTGAAAACGTGGTAACCAACATCGATGGCTTCCCTGAATCTTGGAATTTCACTCGTAATTGCCTCGCTCCCTTGTACGCAGGTATTTGGTTTACTTTGCTTAATTGTGGATTCTGACCCCTCTTCCTTTTCTTATGTAGCCAAGACCTCGCCTCCCCCTTTGGTCGAGGGCATTTCTGGTTGGGTCAGCCAACTCCTCCCTCACATCGCGGGAATTCGCGAGTAGCCGGGCTTCTTCAAGAGGTTTGGGTCGGCTCCCCCTTCGACTGGTAATTTACTCTTGTCTTTGTTTTGTTGGTTATTTCTCTTGTGTGGTTGTTTTTGCTAACTCTCTTATCCTTTTGCGCTTCCCTTAATTTCAGCTGGGGGTCCTCGAGGAGGTCGAGAGCTCTCGCATCTGCATTTCGTAAGAGGAAAGTTGTCGCCTCTTCGGCTCCTGCCCCTTCTACAACTGCGGCTGATTCTGGTCATTCCTCTGTCCCGCATGCTGCTGCTTCCACATCACCTCCTTCTTTATCTGTGGAGACTTTGGCAATAGAAGCTTCGGCTTCTCCCTTGTATCGTCTCATAGACGAGGAGGAGGAGTCGTTGCCAGGTGATGGGGACCTGATGCCCCATAAGAGGAGATCAGTGGACGTGGGCGACGGGGTTGCCCAGGCCGTTGACTCAGTGATTTAGATGACTTCATGCTTCGTAAGATGACGACTATTGTCATAGAAGATGATATCGGGCCGGCGTCTCAGTTTCTGAGGTTGGCGGAGGCCAATGAGGGTGTATCTCTCACTTCTGCGATGACGGAAACTGAAGGGCTGACCGCTAGGACTTCTAAAATTTCGCGGCAAGAGGAGTCATCGACCTCGCAGCCGAAAATGGCAGAGGCAAAGGTGTTGTCGAAGACGTCTATGAGACAGGTTCAGACATTGACGTTGCAGAGCTGAGGATGATGGAGGAAAGGTTTACCCAGCTAGAGGTGAGGCTGGAGGGATCTACGCGGACCATTGCGATCCCTATGGATCATGATTTATTGAAGAATACGGAGAACGTATTCCCTGCCCTCGGCCCCCTTTGCTCCGACGTGGAGGGCAAAACCCTCAAAGAGCTGGACGATGTTACCTTGTCGAGTAGCATAGCCGGCCTTACTCTCAGGGTAAGTATTTCAGGGCTTCGTTTTTCTGTTTGTTATGTTCAAAAAAATTTATTTAGTTCTTTTCCTTTGGGGGCGTTCTTATTTTTGCTTTCCTCCATTTTCTTTCTTTTTATGACTGTAGACCATAATCTTGGAGATTGAAAACGCCCGAAGGGAGGAGAAGCATAAAGCAATATTTGCGAGGTTGCAATGCAAATATTTCAAGTACCGCGATAAGTACCAGGAGTTTCGCAGGCGGTTTAGTGAGGATGGCAATTTGCAGACCCTTCGCGATGAATTGAAGGAGAAGGATGACTAGTTGGCGAGAGTCATCGAGAAGTGCAGTTTCCTTAAGGGGACGTTGAGAAGTAAAAAGGAAGAGCTCAAGGTCAGCAGAGCCGTAGAGGCCCAATGTGGCGACCTCCAGATGCAAGTGATCAAGTTATGCAGGAAATTGGAAGAGTGCTGCCTACAGATGGAGGTCCTTCATGGCGAGTTCGCTAAGAAACAGAACGAGCTTGAGAAGGCAGAGTCTTCCCGTTAGGAGGTTCGGACAAAGTCGGAGATGTTAAAGTTGGCAAATAGGACTCTCCGGGCCGAGCGGGAGATTGACCAATCTACGACGAAGGTAAAAGAAGATAGATTGGAGGAGATGAGAGGAGAGTTGGAAAAAGACAACTCCCTCTTCCAAGACCGGGTGGCCACCTTAGAGGCTGAAAAGGCTCAACTGCTCGTGCAACCGTCATCCTCTCGCACTTCGAATTTCCCAAATGTTCCTCGGGTCCTGTATAAGGAATGGATTCATGATGAAGCTCAGTTGGATATGTTCCGCGATTTGTATAAGGTGGGATCTATTTCTGCTGCCGTCCTTGATGATGTTCGTGTTAAGGCCCACGAGGCTCGGGTCGCATGTGGATATGATCCCGCGATGCCTGAGGATGGTGACGATGAGGGGGACATAGGCGTGGACCATCTTGAAGAGAATGTCCGGTATGATGTTGCATACCCTGAGGGCAATGGTGATGATGAAGGGGGAGATATAAACGGCCCAGGTGGTTAGGGCGATGGTGTTGAAGGCCCCGATGGTGGCGACCAGTCATTTTTCTCCTTCTTTCTTTATTTTGTTGTAACCTTGTGTATTTTTGTAGGCGTCTTCACAAGCCTTTGTAAAAAATGTTTAAGTATGAATATAGAATGCTCATATTGTTTTATGCATCTGTTTCCTCTTTTGTGGTTAGTTTTTCTATAGTTGTGTGTTTTTTGCTTGTGTTTCTTGTAAGAGCGAGGTCAAACATATTTGAACTTAGTTGCGGCCGAGGGAGGGTAGATGTTAGTTCGAGCGAGATCGAATACATCCTGAGTTTAGTTATGGCTGAGGGTCGGTAGGTGTTAGTTCGAGCAAGGTCGAACATAACCTAACTTAATTATTGCCGAGGACGGGTATGTGTTAGTTCGAGCTAGGTCGAACATAACCTAACTTAATTATGGCCAATGGTCGGTAGGTGTTAGTTCAAGCGAGGTCAAACATAACCTAAGTTAATTATGATCGAGGGCCGATACGTGTTAGTTTAAGCGAGGTCGAACATAACCTAAGTTAATTATGGCCGAGGGCCGGTAGGTGTTAGCTCGAGCGAGGTCAAACATAACCTAAATTAATTATGGTCGAGAGCCAGTAGGTGTTAGTTCGAGGGAGGTTGGACATCACCTAACTTTGAGATAAATGCGCTGGTAAGTGTAAAGCTTATTGCCTTGACATTGTCGTATTTGTTACATCTGGAGAAATTTACATACTTTGGGTGTTAGCTGGCGTTCCAGTCCCGGTCCCGGTTTACCTAGTCCCTTCATTGGTCGATCTAGAGAGTAGTGAGAGGTCGAGCAATGAAATAGAAATCGGGGACTTGCCTTTGCATACTTCGACTTGGGGTGTTCCCTTCGTTGCTTCGTTAAAAACTTCCTTGAGAAAACTCAATTGGGATAAAAATCAAGTGAGAGAAAAAAGAGTACAACTTGGGGTGCACTCTTTCCT